CCGGCAAATCTGATAATTACATTTTCATTGAGGTATAATGATTGTTGCCTCTAGCACAGTATATCGGAATTCAACTGGTACTTGAAATTACTGTTAATAATAACGCTATTTGGACGTGTTAATTATATTAATCAACAGAGGAAAGAAGGAACACGTTTAATATTAGAAATATGATATATGAGCACAAATTTTATTGTTTGAAAAAATACTTATAATTGCAATTATTATATTATTAATAACACTTGAGGAAACTTTGAGTGAACTATGATTATATGTAAAAAAAAGTATTACGATCGTTGCGCTCGTTGTTGAAATTAGGCCAATGATGTTATTTCAAAGAACGTAGATATCGCCAGACGACGACAATGCTTCCTTAAAATCAGCAGCGCAAACAATATGATATTTTCTTTAAATTCCACTCTATTGCAATAACTTACAGCATCGCGATAGTATATGATATGTATCTCCATCGATTTTTCATTATCGATTTTCCAACTATTTTCACTTCAACTATTTTTACTCTCTCAATCAGAGTCTCTTCCAATCGTTCTTCAATCTTTCCAAAAGTGAGTTTACTGAAATCTTCTCTAAATTTTAAATAATTTAGGAATCGTATTTTATTATGTAAAATGCAAAATTACTACAGCGAAATAAAATCGTCAATAATCTTTAATGTCCATTTAATGGCACCGAAATCAACTGCAACGAAAAGAAATCTGCAGGTCGCTTTGATCGCAAATCTAATCGACGCTTTGATGGAACGTCGTTGATTAAAGTGAACGTTTAATCGGAAATTTTGATCTGATATCTAGAAATCATTGTTCGCAAAATGATTCCAGACGGCTGGTCCATTGCTATTTATCCGGACAGGAAGCGTAATGGTGGATGTACAATCTTGTTATTGCTCTGCGGTGATATGGGCCGAGGCTATAGTGATTCAATAATTCAGTACCACGCTCGCCGCCAGCGCTATTTCGTATCTCGAGAGTACTGACCTACATTTACACAGGGATAGCTACAAATGAGGGACAAAGCACAGCAAGAGGAGGGAATACGGAGGTGCGAGGAACACCTTAGTCCAGCCGCTTGCCATACCGTCTCGTCGCCCCATATCCAAGTTCTCCGGGATCCAGGATTCCTGGAAGCGCTTACCTTCGCCCCCTTTGAAAGCGCATAGCGACCAGGGCTCGTGGGAGAACAATGAAAGTCCATCCTCGCCGTGAAACAATGACGAAACGCGCTTCGGTCCGAGTTAGACCCTCCTGGGTCGGAGGTCGTGTCGGACCACACAGATCTCTCTGGGCCTTTTGTCCTATAATTGTTGGCCCGACGGCGATAAGGCGTATCAAACGACCCGGGAAGGAACTCGCTATCAAGCTTCGATCGTGCGTCACGATGGGCGTCGTTCTTGCACACATATACACGTTACGATCGTAACGTGTTTTAATAGCCGTACCTACCGGCCGAGTGATTAAATGGATAATAATGGCCGCCAGTGGTGTAGACACGGATGTCTCGGTACGTATATATCATCCTGATAAAATAAATGTGGTGGAAGAATCGCGTCATTTCACAAAGCGATGATTTCATCTCCGTACCACGTTGTCGTTATGTGAGTGTCTCGGCTTTTAACTCCACGAGTTCTTATCCGGCATCTCGTTACAACTGATTTGATGAAGATCTTTTGCAATACTCGGGAATGGAAGTATTTCTCAACTGACAGATATTGCAATCAATCTTAAATGTCGTCGGAAAATTGTATTATATCGCATTTCTTTAATTTCCTTTCTTGGATATTGGATAGGTCTACAAATTTTGGGACACTGAGTATGTGAAGGACGTTATTTCAGAGTTATTGAAGGAGGCTAAGGCGGCCTGAGAGAAATTGTACGGACCTCGTTGCAACCTTTGAAGGTTTGAAGGGCACCTATTCAGCACAGGTCCTCGAGAAATCCTTCGGCTTCCAGGACAACAAAGGATTTAAGATAATCCTGAAATCCTCGGAGTGTATACCAGCATGTATGCTACTAAAACGAAATCGTATGATAGAGCAAAAAAAATCGATACGAGCAATTTTCGAAACTTATGTAACAAAATTGGTTTGGTAAAGAATGACGTTCTTGTGTAAAACTTGTTTAAATTTGTTTTAATTTTGATGTTCCTCTCTACTTTTACAAACACTAATATAATGTCACAATTTAAAAATTTTTTTCATAAAAAATAAAGATTTACAGAAAGAAAGAACACATATGTGTGAAAGCATAAAAAAATATAAATTACACTTGTAGCACGTGTTTTTGGTCTGATCAGAGTTTTTTTCAATTGACTTTCTGCTTTGTGTTTTTTTTTGTCAATCAAATACTAACCGAGTTTACATTTTATTAATTATCTCACGTAGTTTCGCGGTTACTCACGTTCGCGCTATTTTGAAACAAAATTGCAAATTACAATTCGAGTATTCGTTCAAACTCGATCACTTTGGTATTTTTTCAACAACAAACTCTCTACATATGGCGTTTCGTTTTTCACCAATTGAAAAGCAATCGAATTTGCAATTTATCGATTATCTTTCATTGTTTATCTTTCTTCTGTGCCTACAACAATATTTGATAAATATCGAAATAAGTTGGTAAATAAAAAAAAATACAAATTAACTACGAATTAATTGTTGTGAGAGTGGTAAATTCTAACTGCGGCTTTTTATACATCACGCGTTCCTTGGTTGCGTCGCGGATATGTATAAGCAGCCGAAAATAATTTATTTTCGTACGCAAGTTTTCACATCATGTTTTTCACATTAGCAAGCCACGTCTCGTGCAACATGAAAAAAAAAAAAAGAAAAAATGCCGGAAGTACGTGCTGTCGACACGCGAATTCATTTCCGGTGCAGGCTTTCGTCGGAACACGCTTGCAGAAGCGCGAGCCCACTCAATTCCCGCGGGAACGTACCTAAAATAATCCCGGGCGCAAAACGTGTCGTTATAAAAATTCCATCGTCTCTCCTCACGCCGACGATGGAGAATTTTGTGTTCTTCTGACGTTTCCTCCTTCCTGCCTGCATTCGCGCATCACCGTCGTGTTCCCATCGTTAAACACGCGGTATTTCCTCGTCGTCTCTCGTAAATCCGACTCTTCATAAATTTTTCATCGAACTTCAAGGAGATATGCAACCAGCCGCAGTGCGTAACGTCGATGTGACAGAAGGATCTTTTCTAAAATCGTTTATATCTCACGCGTTCGAAACGACTGGCGTGTCCGGCCCGCCACGTATTCGCGGTTAATTAATAATTAATAAGTATGAAACGCACGTGGCGGATATAATAGTGGCCGTCGACGTTAATTGTCACCTAATGAAGGCGCCGACAGCTCTTGGATAAGCCGCTGTCACACAGCGACGCGAAGCCTAACATGCTCAGTGTGGGGAGAAGGCTGTCAATAGGAGAGAAGAGTAAAGGGTAAGGCTTCCATGCAACGGAACCTTTCGCTCCTGTCGGAGAACTGATTATACCTTACGCGAAGCCGGATGCAACCGCGAATAATTAGTTACTGGCAATTACTCGCGATTCCTTACAAGTGGCGCAACTTCGAACCAACGGAGATTGCAATGGTTTATACGGTTCGATGTCTTTCTCTATCCCGGCGTCATCTCTCTATTACGATTTTCGGCGATGCTAGAATATAGAACGTAGCTCAAATTGCGCGAATTGTCGTCGTACATGACAGAACGTGAATTATGAAGGAATGTCGCATAATTCGGACGGGCGTTAATCTAGGCAAATGTCGTCTGATTTAAGTGGAATATCTCGTACATATCATATAGCGAGAGCTGGGAGACATCATCAAATCTTCGCGTCGAATTAACACAGATTTCAAATTTAATTCAGTGTACAAGAAACTGATTTAATATTCATAAAATAACGCGCGTGGAAAAAATAACAGATTGTGCAAATAATAAATGCGACATCTCTTTTTAATAATCCCCGTGTGATAAATGTTTGCATTTTTAAATGTATATTTATACGTCAATATAAATTCAAAGAAGAAATTGTGCGAATAAGAAATATGATAATATTTGTCCACATTTTTTACGAAAAGGAAAATAACGTTAATTACTTTTTTTTAATTTAGCATTATTTATACGACATGAAAATTTGTGAAAAATTTAAGTAATCGATCGCTGAGGGGATGCGCGGCCTTAGTTACGGATAATATTCGACGGACTTAAATGTAAACGCGAAACTTTGGGCACTTCCCTTTCGCTTCGGGGATTAATCGGTCGACGTCCGATTAAAATTGGCCGATACGCGGTATCGAAAGCCGGTATGCAACGAACGGGCGGCCGTGGTGCTCGCGCATATTAAATCGTATATACTGTGGCCATATACACGATTTAACTCTTCTCGCACAATAGATTCTTCCGCGCGAGTTGCCGCGTTCTGTAAAATCGAACGCAATCGCTCCGAGCCGCGGAAACAATATTTCCTGCGGCTTCTCTTTCATCCGCGCGTTTTCTCTCTCTCTCTCTCGTTCTCTCTATTTCTGTCTTTCTTTATCCGCGATCTCTCGGCTAGTTTCCTTTTTTGCTTGCCTCAGTTTCTCTTCTCTCCTCTTTAACATCGCGCCAGTGGCGACGACGAGCGCTTTGAACTTTTCCAATTTTCACGCGATGAGATTCAACTACAGAAGCGAATGAGACACCGGTTGTAATGTATGTGTAACGATCCTTAGTAGCGTTTGCGGTGATGATGTTACCCCGCTCTGACGTATTAACGAAGGGATCTCAAAGAGAGCATACACGCATGTTATATGCAATGCATAAAAAAGCCCAAGTTTATACTTTGAAAAATATGTGGATGTATATAGAGGAATTAAAATAGCACATCGCGCATGTAAAATATGCATACATGCCGTATTGGCCTAATGTGATGCAAAGAGGCCAAGTTTCAACGAGAATCGTCGAGTTTATTAGCGATACTAATACCATTCGTGTTTGATTTCAGGATGCCGACCACTGAGGGACACGATCGTACCGTCCATGTAGTCCAGGAGAAACTATCCCAGTTCGACACGTAGGTAAGTAGCGCGTTAAATCGACCCCGAGTCCGGACGACGTCAAATTCAATTGCCGGCCCGCCACTTAATATGCTACGGTCAACGAGCTGCAAATTCTTGCCGCGCGGATGCGGTAATTCCATTACGACGTTCGTTAAGCACGCGGTTCAAAAGAAAGATTTCCCGAGGGTACTTAATACCGTAACGAGTTTGTCACAACGTGCTGCTGCGCGACGTGAGCGTCCGGCTGAAATAGCGTCGCGATACATGTGCACCGACCTCGGAAATTTTACCTTATCGCATAGAGAGGATATCTCTATTTTTCAGAACTGTGGAACGATTACACTGAGAAAAATCGTTTGATTGTACCAACGAGACGTATCTGATAGAAGGCATTTTAAATTAGAAAGAATTTTTCTAGTTATCATGATAAAACTCGATTTTTTAAACTAGAACGTTTAATGGTATAATAAAATCTTTATTATAAGGACTTGGTTAATATTTTCTAGTTTGGATCTATAAAACTTCTTGTTATATTAATTAAACATGGACACAGTAATGTGTCCATTTTTTTTGTAAATCTAGTATTATTACTTGGAAAATTTGATAAATTTAACAGAGGAAGAAATTAATTATGTCTCTGGTAATTCTGATTCGTTCATCTGATTCGTCATTTTCCAATAAACATATCGGTTGAATCTATCAGAGTTTCAATTAATCCAACCAGATTTTGTTCTCAGTGTAGGAAAAAACATTTCCACATGCACAGTAAATTTGTCATCATATGATCGTATCGGTTTCGATATCTTGTCGACAAGCTCTACGCAATATTTATGAGGTAACGAGTTTAATATCGAAGAGCAGATTCATTTCGATCATCAGTCAACTCATTCATTCATTCCCATAAGCGATAAGCTTTTCATGGTTCCAGATTTATACTTTCGGGACACGCGGCTCTCGTTCTCGCAATCGAAACTTAATTTATCAGCGTTCATGAATACACGGTTTCGCGGTTAACTTTGCAGAAATTGAGAGTATTGGATCTACGCGTGGTTTTACGCTGAGCGATCGACTCGATTGGTGTTTCTGGCTTATCTATTGACGCATGCATGTAATTTCGCGGACGAGGTATTTGCCATTTAGTCAAGCCAATTAATTAACGTGAGCACACCTCTACCTTTTTCATTCCGATTATACTCCTACTATATGCTTTCGTACATAATAGGATATCGAATATGATCGTTATGTAGGAAATGTACAGTATGCATTATTTAGCGAAGATTATGCTCCAATTAATGCTTTTCATGCATTTTTAGATTACATGGACTTTCCATGTAACTCGTTCATAAGATTAATCGAATTGAAATGTGCTTTTCATATCACAACATGATATTAGAAAATATGTTGTATCCCTTTGTTTTGTGTTGTATGAGGACTTTGTAGGACTTGTACAGGATGTTTGTATAGGACTGAAAATGTTTAAGGAACGGTTATATCTAGTCAAACTGCCTAAAAAAATGTGACTAAATTATGCTATGTTTGATTATATCATCATTCAACGCGTGTGCAAATTCGCGAAATAAAAAAAAGACTTGCAGATTAAAGTCAATCAATATGGTTAAATATTCAGTATTAAATCGGTAGCAATAACAACGATTATACCAATTATTATTTAATAATATGTATAACGATCATGTAATACTCGCGGAAAATGCAATTAATTTTGAAATAGCGCTATCGATTCACGGTCTAGTAATCATGGGAATCGAGATTAGTTAAAATGACATATGGATTACCGCGCAAAGTAACACTCAATTCATTATTATGTATTTAATATCTCACGTTTAACACGCATTGATGCACCACTGAAGTGCATAGATTCGATATATCTATATCTAATTTTCACGAATTTGCAATGTAATAATCGCTGTTACGTTTCGTTAATGAATATCTCGCCGATACTTTACGCAAGTGACGTATACGTAATATAACCGCAGCAGATGTAATATCGGAATTGAGAAATTTAAAGAGAATACGCGTGTTTATGAAGATTCGAATTTGATCAGCCGAGAAACGAAATTATTATTGCTTGTAGCAGTTTGCATTAATATCATATCGATTAAAATTCTCTTTGAAATCTGATAAAATCCGCCGGATGGGAAAAGACTTTTCATCTCTGGCAAAGCGGATCTCACGTGCGTCCATAATCTCGGCTAAGCAGCGAGAACGATCGGTTTTCCGCGCGAATTCATTAAATTACTTTCAACATGCTCAAATTCACCGTCACGCAATTAGGGGGAAAGTTGGAGCGCGTACCGTTGTGCGTCGAAATCTCGAATTAATCCCCCGTTCCAATCGACGATGCCAATTACATCTCGATCGACTCACTCGGTCGGCGACGACGGCTTGCTCATTTGTTTTCTCCATTTACCTGAATGCATAGGTGTACCTGTCTACCTATCGACGTCTATATCCCGGTCGATTTACGATCGAGAGAACGGGAGAGCGCGCAGCGGCCAGAATTTCATTTCGCGGAGACACATTCGGTATCCTTGGGGAGTCGTCCGCTTCCTTTCCCCCGGCAAATTTAAAAAACGTCTGTCATTTTGACAGATCTCACGCGCCGTCTCACGATGCCGTAAAGATGGATTTAAAGGATGTACGGTCGGCGCGACGGAAATGTAACCATATTGTATCGACACTACGTCAGAGAGTTTTGTCGCGCCACTTGTCACAGCCGCTATTTCGAGAAAGATCTTTTCAACACTCTCGATAGAGAAAGACCCCATTGCTCTCGTAACTCTAATATAGCTCCGACTGCGCGGAATATTTGTCCCGCGGCGTCTCTCTCTCTCTCTTATTCCGTGACAGATGTAACTGCAAAATTCGGTTGCGTGAATTATGAAATCGACACGGTGTATTTTTAATATTGTCCATGAATAAAGATATTTCACGTTATCTGAATTATATTCTTCATCAATTATTTACATTTCATGCAGATAATTTTATTCAGTCAAAATTTGAACATAAGTAAAAATTTTGACTGAATAAAATTATCTGCATGAAATGTAAATAATTGATGAAGAATATAATTCAGATAAAAATTATCAGTAAAAATTTTATCTACTTTATTGCGCGAGCTTTTATATTTAATACTAAGTTAGTTTGAGGATTCATATATAATCATAGATAATTCCATACGAAGTCAGTTTGAGAATTCATATATAATCAATTAAATTAATAATTAGATATATTTTATGCATGCCATTTCTTGTCATTAAATTCGAAATTTAATTTATTTCTGACGGAATTTATTGAAATATTACATTGCAGTTAGTGGAGCTTTTCGAAAACTAGTATATATATATATATATATATATATATATATATATATATATATAATTTCGAAATTTTGGTCCAGAAATTTTCTGTATAAATAACATATCAAGTATATGTATAATATATATATATACGTATATACTTGATATGTTATTTATTACACAGAAAAAAAAGATATTCTTGTTTCGAAAATATATTTAGTTTTAACATGGAAATCTTGAAATGAGATTATATTGTGTTAATTAAAGAAAAATATAACTGCTTGAATAATTGCTTACTTGAATTGCTTTCTTGAATCCATTTTATATAGTTCAATCAAGAAAAATATATTTTTATGATTTAAGATTTAATTTTCTTTGAATAGAAAAGAAACAATGTTAGATAGAAAATAACATTTTTAAATCAAAGATAATTTTCTTAAAGTAGAATTAAATAATTATATATTCTTGAGATAACAATTACAATATTAAAAAAATAAGATTATGATATTATTGAAATTTATTTTAATTTATTGTTAAAATTATTAAATTCTTTTAAGAAGATTATAAATTGTTGTATATACGAAACAATGAACGCGTTAGTTTAAGTATTCATTTGACACTTATTTTTTTCTGTGTACAGAAAATTTCTTAATCAAAATTTCGATATCTGTGAATATGCTGAAATAAACTTTTCTCGATAAGTGAAGTAGATTTTTCCTACGATTTAACATTTCATTTGGGTAGGCGATATCGAATATTACATATTCGTTGAAAATGACAATATAACTCATTAATACAGTTCGAAAAAACGAAGAAGGGCGCAAATGCCATCTCTAAAGTCCGCGCGAAGGCGACGATGGCGGTGATTGCCGCAGTAAAAGCGTGTGAAATTATACGGAAAATCGGTCTTCCGCGTTGGTCTGATCGCGCGTTGACCTTAATTTCCACGACAGTACCAAGGTGGAAAAGAGGCCGTTCTATCGCGGTTCGATACTCGAACGGTCCGCCGCTAACAATGGCAAGTGCGAACCAAGCCGGCAATACCTCGACGACGATATATGCGTCCTCGTGACCGAGCGGAACCGCACCAGGATACAATTCGTGTACGTTGCAACAGTTGTGAAAGTTTCCGGCGAACAGAAGAAAAACCCGTGCGGCTGTGCGATACACTCGAAACATTATTGCCCAGATAAGGCCATACGGTTTTGTTCGCGTACGAGCGGTTCGCCAGTAGCATGAATACCTATCTATCTACCTTGCCGGATACGCGATTAAAAAAGCGAAATATGTCCGAGAAAGGATCGAACTCAAAAACTCGATAGTAGTAGAAAAAAAATAAGGGGAATTGACGATCTCTGACACAATAATTGACATACGTGATCTACAAGATGCATATACTTTTCAGGAATTTATTTTCGGAAAATAACTTATAGCGCTGTCATGATTTTAAAATTCTTAAAATTTTTAAAATCAGTCACAATGTATGCGATAGTTGATAATGGAATAAAATATGATTTAAAAATATACATGTTGAGAGATATTAAAATTCAAATTAATTTTTATTCTATTTTTTGTATAAGCTCCCATATGCGAGGATTAATATTTTTATCATTGTTATTCTTGTGTCACTGGTAACTCGCAAATTATTCAGTTTATATTCGTATATCGTTCGCTTATATCACGTTATATATTAGGCAAGCT